AGAGAGAGAGAGAGAGAGAGAGAGAGAGAGAGAGAGAGAGAGAGAGAGAGAGAGAGACGCAAATCCATGAAAATACATCGCAACATACACACCACGAGTCGTCTTAGGTCCGTATTTGAAGGCGTGATCAATCGCAAAATCAACACCTCGGATTACCATCCGCTCGTTTCGAATCAAACTACCATTCGGCCGGCGCCGTTAGAGTACATAGGGTCGTAATTGCGAAGGAAACTTCTCAAAAGATGCTTAAGTTCGACGCAACTTTCTTAGGCTCGTTCCTCAAATTTACATTTTCCACGGGTAGCGCGGCGGACTTTGCAGTCTGCGACGGCTTTTACCGATGCAGGTGCCACCCACGACCGAGTATAATTAAACTTGTCGCGCAGCCTTCGGAACATCGTATCTATTACTCGAGAACGGCGAGGAGCACTCGCCGAGTACTTCGCTGTGATCTACGTCGACACGTTCCATAAAATTTCATTACCCAGCCCGACGACGGCGTCGACGGCGAAGGCGGCGGCGGCGGCGGCGGCGGTGGTTATCGCGGTTCGTTAACATGCGACTACTTTCTGTTGAGCAGGAGCAAACGGATGCACCGGACAGAACTGGCCCTGGAATGGTAATCGCGGCGCGGCGATAATAATGGCTACCGTAGTGGCCACCCTGTTCCTGATGATGACATCGCTGACGATGACGGTACCCCCGATAACGAATGTACTGGCGAGGAGCGAGCCGGCGGCTAGCAGGTAGCTCGCGAGCATCCTCCATGAAGATATCGCTGCCACTGTCTGATCCGATTACATCGTCCATGTAAAACCTAGTAGTCTAGGGCTTCCAGTTATGTATGTTACTATGTATAGAATAGATAGTCGAATGAGACGAAATGATTTTTATTCGAGGAGCCTACGAGAAATAACCGAGGAGAGATCGGCGAGACGCTAGCGGATCGACGCGGGGAGGGCGCGCGACTACTCGCGGGCAGTTACTTTTCAAACATGTTGTCTTTTCATGTAAATTGTTGATCGAGATTAAGCGACATAAGGGGAGAGACAGAGAGAAAGAGAGAAAAAGGAAAAACAGGGACAAAACACTGCCAGAGAGCGATCGTCTCGTCCGCGTTTCGAGAAGATAAGACGGGAATGATGGATGCTTAACCCCAAAGAGTGGGCGCGCGTAGGTGACACACGTGCGTGTCACGTGTCAACCTGCCTGCCTGCCTTCTCTTCTTCTTCATCTTCGATATCTGACGGCGAAATTCGCGATTTCGGAACGATCCCCCGCGAACTAGCGTCGCGCGCTGTCATGCTCGACGAACGACACGGAAGTACAGCAGGCGCGCGCAGAATTCTCGATGAAAAAAGGAAAAGTTTCCTGAGCATCATTCCGTTTCGACAGGGTTACGAGACGACACACGTGGTGCGGCCACGCGCGCGCGCGCTCATGTTCCTTCTCGAGACGCGACGAAACAAAAGTTCGGGGCAAAGAGGTAAACATGAAATGAGCCGAGGAGTCGTAAATTATAGAGGTTAGAGGGCTGGCAGATGTTCCGATCGAGCGAAGGATCAGAGAGGAAACGATGATTGGGGGTTCGACTTCCGTTACCACTTTGATTTGTATCCACCGATGGCGTGGCACATCGGGTGCTATAAGCGCGATACTTACTAGTGATCGGAGTGTTCATCGAGAGTGTCAAATATAGATAATACAGGGGTAACTATGATAATTGATATAATAACGTTAGCGCAGTGACGAGCGGCGTTCTGCTCAATATTCGCTCCTTTTATGATGTCTAACAGAAAACGCATCAAGATAGGTACCGAATTTGTAATCTGTACAAATTATAATAAACTATGATATACGAACTGTACACGCACCGTGTGTCTCTTCTTCGTCTTGCCTCACTGATTCACACTCAATAGGTCTGTTCTTTGTAGCTGCACTGCTGAACTGGTGCAATATACTGAAGTGAGACAAATATACGTTTTCTCACTCTAACTTATTACATTAGTTCAGCAGTGCAGCTACAAAGAACAGGCCTAATGTTTGCTGGTATCTAGATTAAATCATCTAAGAAAGCGAAACATCTCATCCATATCTAGATAGTAAAGACATAAGCATCTTTACCTTAGATAAAAAAAAGTGCTATCTTATCTAAGAAAAAGATTTAAGATATTTTTTATACGATATCCAACAGCAGAATTTGTTACCTGGAGTTTTTAGATAGTGACATTTTATGTAAAGATCTCTTCTTAAAAAAGAAATAGATTTGTACGTCAAAACTATAATTGCATTTGGAAACAAGTCTATTTCTAGTAGTAGCGAAGATAGATTTCTTTCATGATAGGATGAAAAAAATTATGTTAGTACACAATTACTTATCTAGCAGTAACATCGCAAGACTTTCCTATTTAGAGTTGAAGGAGAGAGAGATAGAGTTACATTCTCTGACGAATTTCCCTAATGTGAAACAAACTTTTTCAAGTGCAACACATTGCTGCCTTCATCAACACGGTAGAGCAAAAATTTAGTACAGGATAACAAATATATGTAACTCGTAGAAACTATTTATCAGACGATATTTTCTAAAAATTCTTATTTTCGAAAAGTAGAAAACTTTTAAATAAAAATATAAGTACTACTGTTTATATATCTTTATTTATTATCTGCGCACTTTTTTTATATATTTATGTAAATTGTCTCTAAAAGAATCTAAAGAATAATCTATATGAATCGCATAACCATCTCATCTTTTATTTAGATAGCTTAGCGAAACCATCTCCATCTTAAATACATTGAGAGAAATTATCCGATAAAAAATTAACTAATAGATATTTCCGATCAAAATACCGATGAATTTTTATATCCGATCAGGATATTCGATTAAATTTAACCGAATACTTCCCATCATAATGGCATTTTATCAGATACACCGATCAAAAAATTATAAACCGATACTTCTCATCGCATATTTTCTGATCGGATATAAAAATTCATCAGTCATTTTGATCGGAAATATCGGTTTATTAATTTTTTATTGAATAATTTCTCTCAGTGTGGATTTACTGATTTTCATCTTATCCACACCTCTGGATGATTTTAAAACTATCCAAGCGCAACACTGTTCACACCCCATTAAGCGTGCACGGAGTTTCAACAGAGCCTTAACATTTAAAACCAATTTTAATTGATCCGATTTTATTATTTTATTTGATTTTTTTAATTTATTGTTTCTATTTTGCGCGAACATGATATGATACGATATGATATTTTGAAATAATATAGCCTAGTCGAATGATCAACAGCCATGACGTGTACAAACACGCCGCAAAACGATTGGAAAGAACAGCGAGTTTTGGCCTGGAGAGAGCTTTTTTGAAACTTGTGTATTCGCGTCGCACTGCTACTTTGTTGTGCTCTCTCAGATTTGCATAACCGGATCTGCCCTTGTCGCCAAAGGATGAGATTAATTCGAGTGCGAGGTAAGTACATTTTATACCTGTCTTTACTGCTTCACTCGGTTATCTTTTACCATGATATCATCACGTATCCGTGTACGTATTCGTGTACGTCCGCAGCGCTCGCGCACTCGTAGAGCGAAGCAAGCCGTACAGGATATAATTACAGAGTTGCACTTTTAAAACCGAGCTCCGTCCGATCCGGAAGATGCTTTCAAACTTTCATACCATCAAACGAGTTAACATTGCTCATTCATTTTGCGCGAATACACTCGCGTTTACGCAAAGTACTTTCAGCGTTCGAGGTGCGGGATAAAAATAATTATCGTTCGACCGTGCGTGTATCTTACCGCGGCGACGCGCTTACGCATTCGAGTTGCGTGTTCGCGGCAACATTCCGAATCTTTACGACTACCCACACCGATTCCACGAGGATTCTAATTGCACTAATCTCGGGTCGGGTCGAAGTGCTCGTCGGGTTAAAAGCGGTCCCGGACAAAAGCACGTGAAGACCTCCTCGTTGTGGGGTGCGGTTTAAGTAGGCCAAATTGAGCAGTTCGTTGTATGACTGACAATTTCTCGAACTAAAGGTAGCCAAGGAATGACTCTTTAAATGTTTCTTAGTCGAGACTCGAGAGCGCGACTAGAAAGAGACGACTTTCCGCTACTTTAGATGCTATTACTTTCACGCGCTTTTAATGCGACACTGCACATCGGCTCGTTCTTGTATTATCTTCTCGAATACTTCGATAGACCCTTCCAAAGAAACGGGGCGCGCGCACGCTCTTCTTGTAGTTTGGCGATCTGCAAGTCGAGTAAAATCTTAACGACAAGGGAGGGAGGGAAGAGCAAACGGACTGAGAAAGAGAGGGAAGTAGTCGGATTAGCTGCTCCGAAGGGATTGGCAAATTGCAGGGACCGGCTTATAAGCGTTTCCACCGGTAAATTAGGTCGCTCGTAATTCCTTCGCGAAGCGGTATATCGCCCGTGTATGACGACGGTTTGGCAGCGCCGCGGCCAGCGCGGCGCGGTAAGGAAGACGAAAACGTAATTGCCAACGCCGTGAAATCGACATTAATCAAACGGAAACGTGGGTGGTGGTGAGTAGAGGGTGCTGGGTGGGTGAGTAACTAGGTTGCCATTCGGTCCACTTGGGTCGTCGTCGAAATTAAAACTCGGCTACATGTGCTACGAGCCGCACGTGTCTGACGTGCCGCACGTGCGGCCTTACTCCTTAACGCCGCGCGACACATGGCTGGCCGAAGCGTTGATTCGAACTACTGACCCCGAGGCTCAACGCTCGCTGCCGCGCCGCGCGCTTTCTCCCCTTCGAGTCCCCCGCATTCTCTGCGCCGTATTATTACTTTGGCGAAAATAATTGCAATCACAAAGAGGTAAACGTGGACAGACTCTGTTCGCGGATTTACAAAAGCATTTCGTAATTAATGCGATATAATAATATGTTTATTAGATACTTGGTTAAACTTCTAGGGCGTATTCCTCCCGTCAAAATAAAAATGTTTATATAAATCCATAATCATATTTGAATTGTTGTGAAGTTATAGTAAAACAAAGTTTATGTTAACGTTATTGTTAAATAATCATAAGCAAACATCTACATTATAACAATCGAGGCGGATCCCAAGTAGATATCAACAACAGTTGCGCATTAATATATGGGCTGGAATTGTGGACGATTGTTCAATTGGTTCATACATATTTTGCCACATCTCACAGGCAATAATTACTTAAATTTATTAAAAAATATTCTTTCCAGAATTGCTGAAGGATATTCCTCTAAAGAGGAATGTCACTGGTCCATAGGCCATGTGCCTCATTTCTGGGCAGTGAAAAATGTACTTAAAATGAGCACCAAATTAAAGGTCTTGATGAGCTGATTACAAAGATAAAAAAGTCCCAAATTTTAAGCTACTTTCAAACTGATATTTCTTTAGCAAAATTTAACGGATTTTAAAAATTCTAAATGCTACATTTATTAAAATTAAATGAAGATTTAATGGTATAAATTCCATGTTCCAGACGCGATTCCAATTACTGTCAAAATTACTGGCAAAATTCAAAAATCATAAAAGTACGCAATTTACTTTGGTTTATCATTTAAACTGATTTGAACTATTCTTTACAGCCAATTTTTTCCTCCATTCATTTACATTTGTTTATGTTATTTTATTTAATTTTTATATGTGGCATTTTGAATTTTTAAAATTCATACAGTTTTGCTAAAGAAACAAAGAAAGTAACCTAAAATTTGGAACCTTATTGGACCGTAGTGTTGGAACGGTACACTGAGCGGCTCTAAAACTTATATCTTTGTAATCAGCTTATCGAGGTCTTTAATTTGGTACCTATTTTAAGTACATTTTTCACTAGCCAGAAATGGGGCACATGTTGGCGTCACTTTTTAAGAATAAACGCGTGGTTTATATACGATGAAGCACCGCTACATTTTAAGCGTCAAATAAAAAATATACTTAATAATACAATAATTATCCAGATAGATGGATCGGCAAAAAAAGACACCAATCGTTCTCTAGACTTGAATTTAGATTTTTATCTATGAGAACATATAAATCATTTGTACTCGCAACATATTGATAACGAAAAAATGTTTCGTCAACACATTACTAATGCTTGTGAGGCTATACGAAAACATTCGCGAAAGATTGAAATGGTTTGATAATCTTTATTCTGCCCGTATCAATGCCCGCCTTTAATTAAATGACGGTCATTTTGAACGTTTGTTATAATTTAAATATTTACTTATGATTATTTAACGTTAACGTAAATATAACATAACGTAATCTTTGTTTTAGTATAACCTCGCAACCACTTATATTTGATTGTGAATTTATAGAAGTTCTCTTCTTAATTTTGACGAGAAAAATAGGCCCTAAAAGTTTGTCCAAGTATTTCGTATACGCTCTGTATAAAACGAGATCAATAAAAGTTATCACGGCGAAGGGGTTGCGATATTAATTAGAAATCCTGCATTTCAAAAATATGACTACTGAATATGTCGTAATCACTGTCCAGCAAGGCGGAACTTTTAACGATCGATGACTCTGCATGAAGTGACTTTAAGAAAAACAGCAGACGCGATTAATTATCTACCTGGATGACTGAAATTTCTGTGGTTAGATTCACACAACGTCGTGACATGTACAATATTTTTGCTGTCAGTAAAATATTATGTAACTATTGCTTTCCATGTCGCGGTTGCAGTAACAGTGGTAATAGAATGCCGGGGAACTTTCCGAAGAATTGCATCCCCGTGATACGATCGTTATGGTATTACCCTTCTCTTACATATAATCTGCATTGATAAACTGAATGGAGAGTTTATTACACCTCCGGGCATTCTAGCCCGATAATTGAAGAATTAATACCTTTC